TGAGAATATTGCAGTAAGGGAAGGTAGGGGAAAATTTTATGGATAAAACTTTAACTGCGCAACCAGTAATAAAAATCACAGAAATGCAATCTATGTTGTTATTCATTTAAACATTATCATCATTTAATAGTAATAAAAAATATATATATAATATATTTAAAGTAATAATAATAGTAATAAAAGTAATAAAGATTAACTATAATGTAAGCATATCCATGATATATATAAATGATTAAATACATCTATAAACATATATATGTATGTGTGGCACACATATAAAAAAAATAATATATATATATATATATATTTATATATATATATATGTGTGTGTGTGTGTGTGTGTGTGTATATATATATAGATAGATAAATAGATACACACATATACAATACACACATACATATGTACATATATATAAACTTACATTGTTACAAACCTAATATATATTTTTCAGTGTTTGATGCAAAATTGAAAAAATCGATTATTTCCTCTATCGATGGGAGTTGGGAAATGCAAAGTCAGTCTTGGCGCTTCCCGCTAACTTGGAGCATGTGCATGCATATTTTGGAAAATCCGTCGAAAATTGCGGCCGTGCATTCGTTACACACATCCTGCCTTTATATATATATATATATATATATATATATATATATATATATTGTATTGATCACTTTTTTATTATTTTAGCTGTTGGTAGGGAGAGCTTTACCTTTGATTGTGGTAGATGCTATTTTCAGTACCCTAATTATTTTATATTCAATGTTTTGTTTTGTTTTTTGTTTTTGTTTTTGTCAGAAGTGCCGTTAGCATCGTAGTCGGTTGGCAATATCTTTTGGTTGATGACTAAAAATTAACTTCCGCATTTTGACTGTGGGTTTTATTTGGACACTATGTGTATTTAAAGTAGTTTCCGGTTATTATTTTTAGTTAGGAGGACTTGTGTATGTTTAGGTTTCATTTGTTTACTTTTTGTGTATTGTTCTCTGAAAAAAAAAAACGCCGAGTCACCGGAAGTTAATGACATTCGTTCTGTTTTCCGCGGTGACGCTTTCAGACGTTTGTGTAGCCGGCAGTAACTTCCGGCCGGGTGCGATACACTTACCCGTGCTTTCAAATTAATTGCGTGCAAAAACAATTGTGTTTTTCCAATTTTTGGCGCTGTTAGAACCACCGTAAGGTAATTTTACGTAGTCCTGTGAAGTTTTGTTGAAATCGATTAAAAAATGTAGGAAATACGATCCCATATATAAACGAACAGACACACACACAATCTGCGTTTTATAATAAGATAACAGTTATAGCTATTTTTTTCGTCCGATTTTTGGTTTGATTTTTATAGTCTAACTAATATTTTGGTCATAATGAGGAAAAATGAGGAATAAAAAAAAGAAAGAACCAAGAAGATGGAACAAAGGCGAAAACAATCGTTCAGAGTTCAAGCTCAGAGTACAAAGAAAAAACCCCTCCAAAACGAGTAAAGGCAACTACGTAAAGTGCTCAATACACGAAGTAGAGCAAACCTAAGATAAACCTAATGAGCCCAGGCAAACCTATCTAGGTTTCCCTAAACAGATCGTCAGGGTAATGCTGGCCAGCTTTACCCTGACGATCCTTGGTAGGTTTGCCTGGCTCTTTAGGTATTATATATATATATATATATATATATATATATATATATATATATATATAATAAGAGAGAGAGAGAGAGAGAGAGAGAGAGAGATATTTTTTTAATCACCAGCCAAGGTGATAATGCTATAATGCCGCTAAGATGCAAGGGGGAGTAAAAGAGAATTGGAATACTTCGAAAGGAACCGGAAACCCAAATCCTAAACAGGAAACAAAGTTATAAACCTCTGATCCTGTTCAAATTATGGCCGCCAATAATGAATCTTGGTAGGACTTCTAATTCTCTCAAAAATGCCACTCTGTATAGGTTGAATAAGTCCGGTGAGAAGACCCATCCTTGTCTTAGACCCCTTTCTACTTCTGTATATTTACTGAATTCACTTTCTATCCGTATACAGGCGGTCTGCTCCCAGGATAAGATCTAAATTATTCTAATATCTTTCCCAAATAAATCAAGCTTACCTAACATTTCAAATAGTTCTTTGTGCCACCAAAAACTTTCTGTGTCTGCTATCAACACTGTGTCATCTGCATATCTAATATAGTTTAGATTGTATCCGCCAATAATAAACCCTGGCAGGACTTCTAGTTCTTTCGGGATCGCCATGTTGTAAAGGTTGAATAAGTACGG